TTTTAGAAGTAAAATAAAGTTTTCTTAGAATAAATATGATATACGCTTAGCTTTGATCTAAAATTTAGCATATATTATGGATAAATCTCATAGATTGCTGATCTTTCCTCAAAATTTCTATCATTATCAACCCGTTGCCCTTTTACCTTATTCTTTATCAAATAAAAGTTTGTTTAAATATTTTTGAAAATGGTTACTGTGCTGATGAGCTACATTAATTCCTGAGTTTTGAAGATTTAATCAGATAAATAGCGCCTCCACTCGATGGCTCAACAAAGTTTTTTTTAAATTGAGGTTATTTTCTTTGCCATTTCCTGTTGACTCGCGTCCACTTCATTTCTTTTAAATGACTCATTATGTCAATAGAGAATAGGCTCTAAAACTTAGTGATGGGGCATCAAGGATATTGATTTACGGATTTTTGATCAGGTTAATTTGGGCCTTCTTAAATTTATCTGATTATAATGATCACATGGATTCGAATACGCTTTCCTTTCATCCCTAGCCCGTGTGATTTCAATCTATCTTTAATACACGGTTTAGGTCAATTTTTTGTAAACTGATGGCCCAAGGCCTTAGCTTATTTAGATCCTCGCCTCAACACTCAATTAAACTTAGCCAACCTGGCTATAAGGCAGATACATTAATAATTTCTGAACTCATTTATTTTATTTCCTATAACTGATTCGTAAATATTGATGACTTTCTTCATAAAATCGTCAGGCTGCTGCGCGAATAGTGAAGGAATCGATGGACCGAAAGTTCGGAGCTGCCTGGCACGTTACAGTTGGAGAGGGCTATGGTTTCGAGATCACTCACGAGACCAAGCATCTACTCTACATGTTCTTCGGAGGAAACCTGGCCGTCACAGTATGGAAGTGCGCTTAGGATTGCTCGAACTATCCGTCACCTCATTTATTCAATTATACATTGACTTAACCAAGGATGTCATTTATTCAGACTGTTTCACAATGGCAACTTTATACGCAAAATGGATACATCTCCATGCGCACTACTTCCTTGTATATATCTGAGTGCTTTTGGCTTTTCACATGTACCTAAAATGTTAGCCAAAATTATGGAGCAGATACTTTTCGGAGGACTTTTATATTGATGGAAAGCTGTGCTCAAAGGGGCGGCTAAGTGCACTGGATGGCACCATTATTGGATATTCGAAGAAAAGTTTGGTTTCGCGGAATCTCTTGTTTCACAATTGTTGAGCTTACCTCCATTTCGAGTAAAGGTGTTTAGGGAATGGATTTAAAGATCGATCCCACCAGAAGGCGAGGGCAGATTCCTCTCGACCAGCTGTCGATTGGCTTTACTGGAACATTCTTGTTGACGCTATTTCCGAGGTAATCTCTTTCGATTCCGGTAAAGACATACTAAGCTTTTTTCCGTCATAGGACGAATATCATTAGAGTAGAGTATCATCCTTACAACTAAATTTAAGCGAATTAGTCAAGAAAACTCGCCATCTCATCCCTAAAAAGCTGTATATATACTCTATATATGAGCTCTTTGGCTTGGTTTGGTCAGTTCCAGTCATATACCAAACTCGGAGCATACGAGTCTGTCTATTTGTATGTGTATGTGCCTGTATGTGTTCGCATATGTACGAAATCAGCAGTGATGGCTCAAAGTAATAAGGACAGCAAGAGTAACGTCTCATATAGAGTATATATACAGCTTTTTATGGATGAGCCGGTGAGTTTACTTGACTCATTAGCTTGGATATTGTTGTATGGATGATACTTTACTCTGATGATGTTCGTCATAAGACGGACGAAATCTTAGCACGTTTCACCGAAATCGAAGGAGATTACCTCGGAAACAGCGTCAACAATAAGCTTCCATTAATGCCAATGGCAGCTGGTCAAGAGGAGTTGGCCGTTGTCTTATGGTGAGATCGACCTTCGAATCTCTTCATCATCTTTCGATCGAAGTGGAATTAAGCTCAACCTTTATTCATGACCAGGCCAAACTGATACGTACAGAAAATCACGTAGTAAACTATCCCGACAATTTGCCCTAAATACACACAATACTACAGCAGAACAAATTCTTACGCTGATGAATGAAGACCAAATGAAAAGAACTCATGTCTTGTTTGTGTGTACGTGCACATATGAGCTGCATTCTCTTATATCAAGTTCTAACGAAAAGAACAGCTTGAGTGGGCAAATTCAGAAAACGAACTTTATTCTCAACTCACGCATTTGCTCGCGCAAGCATGAAGCATGAATTCTCACGAGAAGACTCATATTATCTAGGAAATTCTTTTCATGTTAATCCTTCACTAACATTGCAGCATGCCCTCGGTCGGAATAGAGAAGGATGAAACCAAATCTCTCAAAATACCGGAATCCAGTATTGCAATTCATCTTCACCTGACTGATTACCCGCTTTCGATCTCTCCGTGTACACATTTGAACTACTGTGTTAAAGACTCGAGCATGTGTATTTTTGCTCTATACCTGTGCTCATTCATACGCTTTCAACTGGCTAGATGCGAGATCTGTTTCATATGTACACTCTAATTTTGGCTATTTGTTAAGGTTGTGTAGTTATTCTGATATATTACTTAACTTACACCAGATTCAGCTTTCTTCACATTTCTAGATTCTAATATTTCCTATGTTTTTTATGCTGTGGTAACTAGAAACAGAGTTGATGAAGATATTCTTGCTTCTTTTTTCGACATATTGATAAAGATTGTTGGAGAGACTTTCATTTCGTATGAAAGTAATGATGAGATGATTTGAAGGTCGATCTTACCAGAAGAAGATAGCTAATTCAAGTTGTGCTGTTGCTGCTTGGCCTTAATATGATACTAAGATTGACGCAGTTCAAAAGATAACCCCTCAAATTTCGCAGTCAAAACATTATCACTCGAAACTGGGGAGGATATCTTGTGGATAGCATCAACTTCAAAGTCTTATTAAAGCCAGACGACCGCAGAACAACGGGAATCGGCCGCCGTCTTCTGGTGAGATCAATTGACGAATCTCTTCATCCTGAACTTTCATACGAAATGAAAGTCTCTCCAACAATCTTATCCTAGGAGATTTATCGAAACTTAGTCACTTTTCGTATCTAACAGTAGTGATCAGTGGGTAAATTAAGTCTACAACGATGAACCTTCTCAGGCTCAAGAGCGACTGGTAAAGATAATTGTATTCTTTATTCAAAACAATTTAAGAAGTACGATAACTAAATATAGATGAGATGTCTTCACCCTATTTCGTCTAAGGTGATGAAGGACTGGTAGTTGATTTTTCCCACAATGGTATGAATAGACCTGACGTTTCTATTGAATTTCGCATGGTCTTGCTTTTCCAAAAAGTGTTCTTATCCAGGGTGGACAGCATGTTCGACCTCGCATAGGTCTTATCATCACCCCCAGCGGGAGTCGAACCACTACAATGCAGCTCGTAAGCTTGACACGTTAATTACTCCGTCACATGGCCATTAGTGCCCCTTGGTCGCAGGGCAGATGCAAATTTTAAGGAAGGTCAGGCATATTGCCATAACATATTCTTTGTTGGGATTTTCGATGAAGCAAACGTATATTTGCTATACCAATCGACTGCATTACTTATTTTTCATATGTAAATAGAGTTTCGAGAATATCATCTTAAACGAAATAGGGTGAATATATATCATATTACTAATTTACTGGTAGTCTCAAAACTCTACTTACATACGAAAAATAAGTAACGTAGTCGATTGTTATAGCAAATATACATTCGCTTCATCGACAAACCTATTAAAAGAATGTGATATGGCAAAAGGCCTGGCCTTCCTTGAAATTCACATCCCCCTTGTGACCCAAGGTCACTCGTGGCAATGTGGCCGAGTGGTTGACGTATCAAGCTCACATTTTCCACTGTCACGGTTCGACTCCCGCTGGTGGTGTTGATAAGACCGATGCGAGGTCGAAACGGCAGTCCACTCCAGCCGGGATGAGAACAATTTTTGGGAAAGCAAGGCTATGTGAAATTCAATGGTAACGTCAGCTCAACTCATATAATTGTGGGAAAATTCT